GTAACTTTCATATGCTTGTTTTGCTGGTTTGGGTCTCATTTTTACAGAGAAGGCACATATTATTCATACCTTGTAAAATATAGTTTTTTTTTGGTTTATTTTTTTAATTTTATGTGGCTGCTGTGAGGTTGTAGAAATGGAAGGTTTTCAAAATCTAGCGGTATATATTTTATTATTTGGGAGTCAAGAGGGAAACTAATTTTATACCAGATTGACCTCAATATAAATATGCGAGTCTCTAGATTGTGTTTTTATTTGTTCTTTTATGGGTCAATGGGTCAACTGTTTTTGTTCTTCTTTATAAGTTCTTTGTTTCTTGTGTTGAATGTTTGTTTATTCTACATTTTCGTCAAACAGTCCTGAAGATAATGGTAGAGTTGCTGAAGAATTGAGGCGCGCTGATGCAGTTGTTCTTACTTATGCATGTGATCAACCCCAGACGCTTGATCGATTGAGTACCTTCTGGCTTCCTACGCTTCGCCAACTTGAGGTTTTCTTTCTTTGTCATTTCTGTTTTACATCGTATTTTGTCCTAGCAGCACAATATCATGATGGAGAACTTCCAGAATTCTTCTGGAATGAGAGAGAAGGGAAAAAAAGAAAAGAAAAGAAAAGAAAGGACAAGAAAAATGTGATGATAGAAAACTTAAAACTTCAACCTCTTTTACTTCGTTGGAAAGTACTTGCAGACTTCAATGAAAGTTTATTGAGCTGTATATTTTTCATGCAGAATTATGGTTAACTTTATGTTGCAGGTGAGGGTTCCAGTCATAGTTGTAGGTTGTAAACTAGATTTGAGAGATGAGAACCAGCAGGTTAGCCTGGAGCAAGTGATGTCACCAATAATGCAACAGTTTCGGGAGATTGAAACTTGCATTGAATGTTCAGCATTGAGACATATACAGGTCTGTATAGTGAACCTTCTTTGCACGGGCCTCCTTTTTCAGTTAAAACATGCAATCTTTCATGCTTTTTAGATATGCCACATTTGCAAGCTTATGCTTCTTTATTCTCGTAAGTTTATAACTTGGAATTTTGGGTTCAACCCTTTATCCGAGAATTATTTTTGAAATATTTCTGCATCACACACTTTAACACCAGTATCTGATTTAAGATTGTGGAACTTTTGTATAGTTTGGCTGGTCAAATACATCGACCAATTTCTTGTTTTGATGGCTTTTACGTTGTAGCTCTAAGACTGTCTGTATTTCATTTTGTAGATTCCAGAGGTTTTTTACTATGCACAAAAAGCTGTGCTCCATCCAACAGGCCCACTGTTTGATCAGGAATCACAAACACTGAAGCCTCGATGCGTGCGA